TTTATTATTAATCATTTTTTATTATTATTTCGTACCTTCAAACACATGTAATAACTAGTACTACTATAAATTATCCATTTTATATGAATACTAAATAGTACAATATTGAAAAAATAGATGACAAAGTATCCACATGGATATCTTACGCGTCGTGGTGAGGAGGCCCACACACTCACATCCTAACAATGTACACCAAAATTTGAACCATTAAATCAAATCGAAAAGAAAAAAGATGGAACAGATCATAGATGTGAACGTGATACCAATAAAATAATTGTGGATCGTAAATCTTAATTTAAATTATTCATAATCAATAATTTTAAAAATAAATAAAATAATTAAATAGTATAACTTTTTACGTGTCATTTCATGATTGAATGAAAAAATTATAGAGTTTATAATCAAGATTTGACGACCTTAGTAAATAACATATTAAAAAGTGTCAACCTATTGCCAATCATCTTGGACAGAACTAGTACGCAAGTGTATGCACAAACGCTTGGAATTCTTTTCTAATTTTAAAGACAGAATCCTAACCTAAGCCTCCAACCCTTTTCTTGAACTCCACCTTGCCCATGTTTCTTTTTTCGAAGGGGCCATAAAAAATTATAAATATCTTCGCTTACCACCAACTGTCTTTTTTTAAAATTATACTGATATTTTGAATTGAAATACGCCTATTTTCATGTCACATCTTAGTGTCTTTGTCTTTGTTTTTGATTGAGGAATAAGAAACCAATAAAATTCTTAAACTTTATGATTTGTTTTGGAATTCGTGTCCTGTGGACTCCTCGTCGGCCCGCCACAAGTGGAAGCAAGCTAGCAACCTTTAAAATAGGTGGTGAGCTAGCATACTACGGCAGATGATTGAGGTACTACTCGAATGATAAAAATTCTCTGTTATAAAACAGCATGTTGTAGGTTCGATTCTCCTCTCCGTCTCCGTCTCCGGCTACCCTCCTCCTCCCTCTCCCCTTTAGTGTAAAAGATCGTTGCTTTTTAAAAAAAACAAAAAAACCTTGTATACAAGGGCGAGTGAGGTATGGGTCAATGGGGGGAGTCAACGGTTGTTCTATTTTTTGGCAAAGAAGATTCCAAGTGGCTGTGCATTACATGGCATTGTCAGCTCACCCACCAACTTTGCCAGAGGGGATCGAGAAGGACATTCCATAGTGGAGTTAGGGGATTGTGGTCCTACAACCCTAGAACTACACCTAGGGGTCGGATAATGCTTAGTATGTACAATTTTTACTAAATTTTAAATGTTGAAGTATTTATTATAATTAAATTTGTAAGAGGAAAAAATCTCATACCTTCTGATTTCGTTGAATTGAGAAAATAATGAATAAGGATTACATTGTTCGTCTTACAAAATAAATAAATTGTCAAAGATCGGGGTAGATTGATTGGAGACACTCCATAAGGGTCTTAAAAAAAACTAAAGAAGTTTACAGGATTTAAAAGTACTTATCTTAGACTCAAGCATCGCTCGATATTTATCGCATTGTGTGTCAATTATTCTACCACGATTTCAATCGTTGGCTATATTAGATGACACACCTAATTCTCAGTTGGATTGCTTTTGATTAATTTTGGAATTCCTCTCCACTCTATCGTTTGTCCATCAGTTAGGGTACACTGATAACGCTCACCCATGATTTAGATGACGTTCTTATCAGTTTAGCCTTATCTAATTTATCAGGATCGCCTAGCTGTCTCATTTATTGAATGATACTGTTTGCAAGATCAGTTGCGAGATCTGCTCAATCTTGCTTTTGACTTGGTAGTACGAATAGCTCTCATATAGTTTGATACACTGCTCTAAGGCCAGTTGCTTGGTCTATTCGGCCAAACAGTTTAGTCATATGCTCGGTCGACTGTAATAAAGACTGTACTGCTCCACGTGTTTTTTGCCACGTACTTTAAGATACGTGGTCTTATTAACTGTCTCAATCATATGTAGTTATTTTGTGTCCCTTCAAAAATGTAAGTCTTAAGATTAGTCATTGGATATAAATGATCCATGTCCTTGTTTTGCTTTATACTCCATTTTACTGTATAGATTGTCAATAATTAGTGAAAGTTCTTGAGAATCACTAATTTGAATATTCATTTCAATTATACATTTTTGTTAATTTAACTATTATATATGTATCTTGGTGTACTTGATAAAATTTGAAACATATTACTTGTAGGGAAGAATTTGACCACACGGCATGCATGTGGTAACTCTCTTGGTATCAAGTTATGAGAGATTTAATTTTTCATGAATTTTCAGTTTTAACGTGGATAATCTGCAGCTTGACTTTGGCCGGATCAAAGAAAGAATTAGTCGGGATACGCATAAGTCGAACTGGGCACCCTTCATCATAATACAAAAAAAAAAAAATATTAAAGCTTAAAGATTTTAAAGTTGATGGCCAAGTTTGTAAATAAAAAATATTTCCAACTTCAAAACAAAGTGGCTGAAAATGGGTGGAAAATGATAAATTTTTGGCTGAATAACCACCAACATTCTGACAATATGTTTGAATGATTTAACTATTTTGTATGGATGGTAAGCCATCCTTATCACATGCAGAGTCGGAATGGCTAGTGACCTCTCCACAAGCTACAGTTGTGACCTAATCTCATGGCCCATCACAATCACTTAATAGGAGGTGAATGCCTCCCTAATGTCTCCATGTTCTGCAATGTATATATTTACTATTTTTTTTTATTTTTTTTGTCCTAATCTTTTGCACAAATAAAGTTCGATCAAAGATATTTTTTTGGTTGTACAATGATTTTTCTATATTATAATTAGTCTTTGAATTATGGGTATACTATATATCTAAACTGAAAATAAAAAACTCCGACAGAGTCAAGGGAGAATCATGCTGGGTAAAGAAGAATCACACAAAAAGGGGTGTAAGAAAACATCTCATACTTGACAAAGCTTGATCCCGTGATCTTGTAGTACTATCATGGATGGTTGTTGGACTAGATCAGAAATTTAGTTTGATCACTATATTTCATCTTACAGAGATATGTATGTTCCGAGTTTATCCTAAGTAAATGCGATGAATATGTAGCTTATACTTAATATTCCAACATGAGCAAGTGATCATGCATTGATTCTTCCGACCTTATTGGTATAACATTTTTGTTAATCCGACATAAATATTTCAGAGACAAATAACAATATTTTCTTAGTTAGGGTGTTACATGTGCGATGTTAATCGGTGCCATGAGGGTGTTCTAAATGAACGTGGTAGTGTCGTTGGCTATGGAGACAGTACTCTTTGTATGCAATTCAATTTCGATATTATTGGTGTCATGATAGAAAACTGTTCGAGGAAAGAAATTAATAGAAGAAAAGATATGGGGATTGCTGTGTAATTTCAATGAAGTGTTGGGGGGCTCACCGGACTGATTAAAAGTACACCCTCCTGCTAATATGTGAGGAAATGACATGACTAAGTGCCATCTAAATCAAGTTAAGGACAACTAAAACTTCTAAAAAAGTTTAAGACAAAGATCTACACCTTACAACAATTACGATATTTTGTGACAGTGAACATTACTACCATAAAGATTTGTCTCAAAAAATTTTAATTTTTATTATACGTCTGTGACATTTTATGCCAACCGTGGCCTAAAATATCTTATTTGTAAGTCGAGAAAATAGTCAACATAGAACATTTTATTCCAAGATATGACAATTAGGGTAGACCATCACAAATTCAAACAAATTTTTCAAAAGGAACCTAAATGCTAATATATCACCCAAACCACCAAAAGGACCACTCTCCTTGCATAAACATAATGCAAAGATCAAGATTTTTGTATGCACTAACCTGCAAATATTCAAATATCTTAAAACGTCCAATTAACCCTATCGAATTTCCGTTGTTCCTCTTGGATATATTGAACAATTATTAATATAAATCTCTATCAGAACTCGAGCTCAAAACATCGAACTTTGTGAAATGAAATCCTTGCCAACTTTGTATAACCCTTTAGGTTATTCTCCTTCGCGAAAAATCCTTTGATGTGGGATCACTTTGTCTCAAATGAAGATTTAGAACTCTTTACCTTAGAGATGCACACAATCAAAGGTGTGATCTTCCCCATAAAATATTTTTAGTTTAATCTCAACCGTATGATGAGAATCGAACTACAAAAATCCTATGGCCTTAGTGTTTTTTCTCTGAATGTCTGACCATGGTGGGCCAAGTCTCACATTGAGTTGCAGACTTGTTAGGAATGAAAGCCCAACACCCAACTTCCAACCATGGTTGATTGAAGAAGAGAAAAGGTAAAGGACAATGATTTCATGAATGAGATGGGGGAGCCACAGCCACTTGATCATCTTTTCTTTTTAACAAGTTTTTCACTTTTTTTTTTAACTTAGGAGATTGGGTCCCACTCCCCCGGCCTCCCACTGTCCTTATGGATTGAATCATTAAGAGCACCACACGTGGAGTCTGAATCAAGGGACTGTCCAAACCACAATAAAAAGTACTTCATAAATTAAATACACCTAAGAGAAACCCGCAAATATAAATTTTCAATTACTATCATATGCAACATAAGGTAACTCCAATAAATTAGAAGAATTATAAATTTAGATATTTGAATTTAAATTTTAATAATTTTTTAGAATTAGATTATGAGAAATTTATTTTTTATAAATATTCTAGTTTCGACATTGATAACCTATTTTTAATTAGATCAGAGAAAATATCAGTTTAAGTGTACATATAAAAAAATACAATTACTCTTATACCCCAGCTGAAAAAATATTTTTATTATTATACCCAAATGAAAGCAAAATTTTTCACAAAGTAGATTGCTTCCCATATCCCACCCCATATAATGCCCATTCATTGTGTTTGTTGCTTTAAGCTTGCCCTCGTCTCTCTCTCTCTCTCTCTCTCTCTCTCTCTCTCTCTCTCTCATTCTGACTCTCTCTCTCTCTCTAGGGTCCAGAGAAAGCAAACCAGCAAGAGTCCCACAAGGTACTGAATTTTGGGTCATCTAAGCTAGATTTATATGCACCCACAAAAACAATACTATATGATCATGGAAGGTGAAAATGGTAGCGGTATGCGCAGGCAAAATTTCCCATTGCAATTGCTAGAGAAAAGAGAAGAAGAAACCTGTTCAACCTCTGGTTATCCAACCCTAGTAATCTCTGGTACCGGCGAAACAAGCGGAAACCGATCAAATTCAAACCCACAAGTCCCCACTGATCAGTCATCCAAGAAGGTTCAACCCAAGAGGAACACAGCAAAAGATAGGCACACCAAAGTTGATGGCCGTGGTCGCCGGATCCGCATGCCGGCGGCGTGTGCTGCTAGGGTTTTTCAGCTAACTAGAGAGCTCGGCCACAAGTCCGACGGCGAAACCATTGAGTGGCTGCTTCAACAGGCCGAGCCAGCCGTGATCGCCGCCACCGGTACCGGGACCATCCCGGCAAATTTTACATCACTTAATATATCGCTACGAAGCTCAGGCTCAACTATGTCAGCACCATCACATTTGAGGAATGGTTATTTTAGTCCCAACTTTGGGACTTCACAGTTGAGGATTAGGAGTGAATGGGAAAGAAGTATTGAAGAGTCACAGCGGCGGATTTTATCTGGATTATCATCTGAGAATTCAACTACAATCATGAATTTTCCGGTTAGTAATATGAATATGAATGGAATAATACAAGCTAAGGAAGAGCTACGTGACACATCCCTAGATGCGGTTGAGGGTGAGCTGAGTATAGGGCGAAGCCGGCGGCCGGAGGAAGATATGTCATTGCAAAGCCATATGGGGGGTTATATGTTACAATCGAGCACCGGGTCAGTGCCGGCGAGTCATGGTCAGATTCCGGCGACAACTTTGTTTATGGTGACAAATCCTAGTAGCCAAGTTATAAGTGGTGACCCCATGTGGACATTTCCCAGTAACAATATGTATAGGGGGGGTTCAATGTCTAGTTCCGCCTCCGGGTTACAGTTTATGAATTTTGCTACCCCGATGGCTCTTTTTCCTGGGCAGCAGTTGGGTTTGGGGACTGGCGGCGGTGGCAGTGGTGGTGGTGGTGGTGCAGTGATGGATGGGCAATTGGGGATGCTTGCTGCACTTAATTCCTTTAGGCAGATTTCAGGTTCGGGGGCTTCTGAGTCTCATGAGGCAAGTGGGTCTAATCCGCGTGGAGGAGATGATCAATCATAAAAGTGTATGGTTTTGATGCTTTGATTGCCATTAGCTAATCATATACATATATATATGCATTTGCAACATTTGGTTCTGGTTTGATTGCTTGCTTCCAATTTGATTTGAGTGCAGTGAGGATTTTTAGGGTTTGAGAAACAAAAATGAAAAATGGTATATTTTTCTGATATTTGGTATTTGCTAAGATCTCTTTAGGTGTGACTGACTATTTCTTGTTAATGTTTGTTAATCTTCTCATGGCCTACCTCTCATACATGCTTTTAGTTCAAGAAAGAGACTAATTTGCATGCAAGCTTGCATTGTTTAGGTTCCTTGCTAACTTGGTTTGATAGGTTTAACAAACTCATAATGACAACCTCTCTCTCTCTCTCTCCCCTTCCTTTGTGGTTCTGCCATTGCAGGTTAGAGAACAATTCCTATTTTGATTCTCTGATTAAGTCATATCACACCTATCGATCCATATATATCATGGTATCTGTGATTAAGGTTCCATCAAATTAGAAAAGGGTCTAAATTAAACCCATATTCAAGGATAGGGGACCCACAGTTTTTTCAGTTTTCAGCCTTTCAGGTGGTTCTCAGCTGGTGACTTTGTGAGCCCTAAAAACTGGTCATTGCCTAAAATTTATATGCATTCACTGAGTTCCAGCAGAATCATTCCTCATCTTTCTAGTATAAGGTGGCTACAGCTAGCGTAAGGTGGTCCCTACCACACATGTGCTACCAACTTTTAAATCTGACCATTGATTGAAAGGTCCCTTTTCTTGATATATCATCATGACTCTCCGAAAAATGTAGTCCTTTTGAACATTTAGTACTATGGCATCAGCTGTCTTTGCTTTGCTCTTAATGGCCCAATACATATTTGTAATCTCTGCTAGGGTATACATTACTCTTGATAGCTGTTTTGCTGCTGATTCCATCAATAACTCTTTCCAAATGGAGTTCTTGTAATGCAAGTGGAGCCATTCTTTATACAGGACTCAATATTCCTCTGAAATCTTCTATTGCAAGTTTGTTTCCTAGAAAGGAATTGTTAGGTCTCCAACTCGATCTTGGTATTAAGATGGTTATTCTTAGTTTTGCAATTATCTATGGTAAAACAATGTATGTACTTTAAGAGAATTACGTGTTTGTTTGTTAATACAATGACGAGAATATCATGCACTGAATTGCCTTATTTTATCAGATAAGAAGTGCAGTCATCTTCCTCGCCAATAAGGGCAACGGCTCAATCAAAATATTCTTAATTAGTATGTATGTTTCATCTTGTTTGTCTGTTTGTAGCGAAGCATTTGCATCATAGTGTATGTACTGATCACATGACACTGCCAAACTGGAGGTTTCTCAACTTCATTGAGTATTGGTTACATTAGTCTGATCTTATTTCTCAAGATTAATTAATTAAGCTGCATGATGCAGGCACATGATAAGAGGTGACCAAGGCTAAAACATGAACATGAAGACCATTAAATCCTTGTTTTTTGATATTACGTATGGCATATAAAGGTGTAAAGTCTTGATGCTTTTCCACATATTCAAGCATAGGCAAATAAATTTTATGCAAGTTTTGTGTTACAATCCACTCCTATACGTACCAGATCTGGCATGAAATTCCTTTGATCTTGAACATTATTAGTCCATGGAGTGAAGGGCTAGTTGAAGTCGGAAACTAATGCTTTTGGAAAAAATATTCAAGCAGGAAACAATGGTTTTTTGATACTATATGCAAGAGGATATACGTTCTCTTCCTTTTGTTTCAGAAAATTGCTTGTGATCTTCATTATTATTAGTCGACTTTAGTCATTGCGTTTTGGCTATATAAGTAGACTTTTGAGCAGAAATACGTAATCTTGTTGTTCTATATTTTCAGCTTCTTTTTAATCTTTGTTATCGATTTCCTACTTAACACAAAAGCCTCGGAGGAGGTAAACAAATGACTTCATTTATCTTTTTATATGGTGAAGATTACACACTGTAATGAACAGATACATCAACCAAAATGGTGGGCCTAGACGTTTAATATCAATTGCATCATGTTTGCCAAGTGCTAGTCACAAACTTCTGGGGTAGGGTGGAAAATAAGAGAAAAGAACAGCAGTGGGCAGTCAACCATATCTGAGTCTGAAAGCTTAACAAGCTTTGGAAATAAAAACATAGTTTGAAACCGCGGTTTTTATTGTAAAAGTGTGGTTTAGAACCACGTCTTTAGTACAAGAGCATTTGACAACATCTATAGACTTTCTTTAGGAACTTTATATGAGTCCCATTATTGGATATTACTACAATTCTTAAAACAAAATCTACGTCATGCCGAAAATAACGGGTCAAAAGACAGGGTTATGGCTGCTGCTTCTGACAATCTTCTAACAAGGGCGCTTAATCATATGTCGTTTCATACCAAAATAGAAAACAAAAAAAAATCTTAGGGGCAAGTCTCTTGCAGAAAAGCTTCCATTAATCACTGTCATAACATTATATCGATTTGTATAAAGATAGTATATAAGTCATTCAAAAACCAAATTGATTTTTTTTTATGCGGAATATACCAAAAATGTAGTCTTCCTACTTGTAGCTCTATAAAGAAAATATAAGAAAGAATCACGAGCAATCTTTAATTGAAACTTCATAAGGTCTCCCTATAAACCAGTAAAGAATCCTTTTTCTTCAATAAATTCTATCTAAACTAAGTAAGTAAATCAATAAATAAGTACAAAGATCATTGTCTAATTTTGGTTTTTTTAATGTGGGTTGAGGCTATGACAATGGACTAATAAGAGATTCAAATGCCCTCTATTACAATTTCTTCAGTTTCATTCAATAGTAGATCATCCACGATGCATGAGGTGATGAATTAATCTACTTATAATTGATCCGTCATTAAGTAAAGTAGAAGAAAAATGAAAATGAGAGGATCTCCTCCCAATTAATGCAAACAGTCGTTCAAGGATAGATGTGATTCCTCACTACCTTTGTGAAAAAACAAACGTCTTTAATTCAAGTCAATCCTTTGAGTAATTTTTTGTGAAAATTGAGAGTGAGTCATCTTAAATAAACTTATAATGACTTGAGTTTTGAAAGAAAACTTATTTGAGGATAAGTTCATGTTTAAATTTATATGTTGGTACTTAAATTCACTTATTTTTAAATCTCAAAATTATCCCTAATGGTGTTAGTTTTATCCAGTTATAGAAAATCACATAAGTTAGATCATTGATGTATATATGAAAACTCTTTGATTGAGTTATATATAGAAACTGTTTAATGGAAGTTTTATGTGAAAGTTATATATTCTGATAGTTATATATGAAAATTTGATGTACGAATAAATTGTTGGTCTATTAAGTTAAAATTAGATCACAATTTTTTTTTAACAACTTAAAAATTCCTTAACATTAGTGTTACTAGAGTGACACTAATATTATTATAGTGACACGAATGTTACTATAGTGATACAAATGAGATTGTTTTCTTTGAAATACTTAATATCCAAAATAAAAAATTCCATCATTTCAAATAATAGCACAAACTCAACTTCAATTTCGATTTTACTCTTCAATTTTACTGTGGAATTCATTGACAAAGTTACAGTTGATTTTTTGCATTCAAAACATCTTTACAATTTTGGGATTCAGAAATAAAGTTAAGGTATGTAATTTTACATGAAAGTTGATGTTCATTATAAGGTTTTTAAAAACTTTTACATAATATATAATTCAAACTATCCGTTTTTTTTTTCTTTGCATTCCTATTTTAAAAAATTGATATTCATTATTGCTAAATTAAAGTGTTAAATAATTTAATTTTGTTGTTTTTTTTTGTTGTGCAAGACATTCGAAATACCTTGGTTATGTGTCTGTGAAATAGAATATGTTACTATGTGATAACTGAAAATGCATTTTAGAATTTCTATGTTTTGACATTCTTGATTGGTGTTGCGTGTCTTAATTCAACTATCAACGGTGTGTTACTACTAAAAAATTTGTAAATTTTCAATTTGTGGATCGTATTTTTACTATAATCTTTTGAAAATTGATGTTAATGTGAAAACCCTATTGCTTTGTATTTTGTAAAAGTCGATGTGTTACTGAACACAAACCTTTGATGCTACTGTGAAAATTAAATGTTTATGTTACATAATATATGTCTAAAGGTTTGCAATTGGTAGTGTAAATAAAAATTGAGATTGAGTTTGTGTTATTATTTGAAATGGTTAAAATTTTCATTTGAGATATTGAGTATTTTAAGGAAAACAATCTCATTCGTGTCACTATAGTAACACTAATATTAAAGAAATTTTGAATTGTTAAAAAAAATTTGTGATCTGATTTTGACTTAATAGACCAACGACTTATTCGTATATCAAGCTTCCATATATAACTATCAAAATATATTACTTTCATATAAAACTTCCGTTAATTATCATAATATTTAATAAACGGTTTTCATATATAACTCAATCAAAAGTTTTCCAAACGGTTTCTATGTGAACGAAACGATAAGTCAGAAGTCAGTTATTGTTTTTTCAAATGGTAAGGGTACAATAGTAAACTTGACAAAAAATAGGCTTAAAACCAAATAAGTTTCTTTGTTGGACTTATCTCCAAATAAGTTCATATAATAGGACTAGTCTCCAAATTTCCCTAATTTATTTCACAGTAAGACACCAACACGAGAATGTAACTCTAACTCCAAAAACTTGTAATTATTCTTATTAAGAGTCACCAAACCATTGAAAAATCCGACTAAATATGCTAGTAATTTGTTGAAGGTATTCAATCTAAAATCAATTGATAATGGAATGGATATATACCCTTCTTCTTCAAGATCACCGAGATACCATCTTTCATGGCACATTATTTATTTTTGTAAATATAGAACAAATTCTAATGCTTGTAAATCATAATGTAGAGAACTCGGTCCCAACTCGGTCATGCTCTAACAGAGATTGAAACAAATTATGACAATACAGCAGTGTATTCCATTCGAAAAAAGAAGATAATAAACCCCAAAGGGTAGTTTAAACATCATAAGTTTGAATTTTGACAACTTCTTGAAGTCAAGTTACGAGGGATTAGTTGAAGATGGTCTGTTTTTGCCGAACTGGAGAGAAGATTAATCGAAGTACATTTAAGTTGGTTCGGACACCGCTCAATATCTGACCATTGAATCAAAAAGAAAAACGAAGACAATAAGCTAAGCCCAAACATAAAAAACGTGATCGTCCGTTACACACGCGAAACAAGTAAGAGATTCAATGATCAAATTGCTAACGTTGTGCAGTACTATAGTATATTCTGTTTAAAAGCTTTCCATTTTTTGTCTGTATGTACAGCTATGATCATCATTTCATATCACCTGTATCACCCTCAGAAAACACACACACACACCGAGAGAGAGAGAGAGAGAGAGAGAGAGATGAAGCCCAAAATTTCAATCTTGATCATGAAGCTCTTGACAGTACAATGTCTGGCTGTTCTTTGTGTTTCACAGGAATTTGATTTCTTCTACTTTGTTCAGCAGGTTAGTGAGAAAATTAGGCTGTTCATGGAGACAGATTTTATTGGTTTTCAGAATTTATATTTGGAGTTGTAGTGATATCATTTGATGAAGTGGCCAGGATCATACTGTAACTCAAGGCAAGGTTGTTGCTACCCTAAGACAGGCAAGCCTGCATCAGATTTTGGCATTCATGGCCTCTGGCCTAATTTCAAGGATGGCTCATATCCCTCCAATTGTGATCCTGTTAGCCCTTTCAATCCATCCAAGGTAACAATGCCATACCCTTTTGTTGGTTGTTGTGAAAGTAGGTTTGATAAAGTTTAATTCGACTTGCTAAGCCAATACAAAATTATCAAGTATGAGTTTTGTTTTGACAGACTATTGAGTTATAACCTCATTGATCCTTGAGACTCGCTTAGAAAATCAATTGAAACAAGTTTTATAAACATTACAAATTCGACAAGACACGAATTTTATTATGGGGTGGGGCTATTCCCACCTCATTTTTATTTACACCCCGACTTAAAATTATTTTTTTTATATGTCCGTTCCAACGTATATGATTAAGCATCTATTTTCTAACCCCATCCCACCCTCTATTAGAAACCTTAACTCCCTAGCCTTAAATTTTGTCCTCAATTTTTGTAAGGGAATCTAAAATCACGATGGTCTAAACAAACAAATAAAAATCGAGATAATAATTTAATATTAACCGAATAAATTATAGTTTTCAACAACTCCTTCGCAATCTCAATTCTCCCCTGTTTTCGACCACATGACCGCAGTATAAAACTCTAACTATAGTTCATTCACCATATTTTGCTTAAAGTCTTCGCTATTTGCTAATCAACATCATTCAAGATTTATTTCACTGCCACGTTATCGTCAATTGGGTGGTGACAATGGTGGATGTGTGGTGGTGGAAATTTAGGGGTTGGGTGAGTTTGATGGCGTAGGTGGTGATTGTAGATTTAAGATTTTCTAATCACTAGAATAGATATAGAATTGGGTGGAGGGTGGGAATAGCTCACCCTTTTATTATACATTTGTGTCACCTTGCATTGAGACTCTTGGATTTTGTAATCGATTCAAAAGTAGGTCAACACGGCAAGATTATACGACCATACGAAGTGTGGCCCAGAACAATAATATTCGTTATTCACTATAAAACAATGTTATTGAAATTTAATATAAATAACTAATTTAGAATCCTAATTCACTTTGACCGTTAGATTAATTATAAGTTTCAATGTGAAAATAAGATAAGCTTTTAATCTATTCACGGATGTCATAGATTTCAGACCTAAGAAGCAGAATGCAAAAGGAGTGGCCCACAATGGCCTGCCCCAGCAGCGATGGCTTGCAATTTTGGGCCCACGAATGGAACAAACATGGAACCTGCTCAGAGTCTGTACTTGATCAGCACAAATACTTTGCAGCTGCTCTTAACCTCAAGAACCAAGTCAACCTCCTCCAAGGCTTGAGGTTAGCTGTGTCAATCTTACACATTAACATGAGCATTACACGAATTTGATATAATATTCGAATCTAAAAATAATACGATAAATTGTAACAAGTAATAAGTAAGTCGGGTTAGTTTGTCTTCAATCAAATTCGTATCACGTCAGATTGGTTAATGTGTAAAATTAAAATAGCTAGCCTCAAGCCTAGTTAACAAATTTTAACAATTGCATGACAGTCATAACAAATAAAATACTTTGTTAGACATGAATAATATGTTTAATAGGTTTTTATTTAATTTTTGTTAATTTGCCGATTGACTAGATTTAAATTTATGAAAGACACATTTAGTGAATTTGGTTAAAAGAGAAAAAGGATTATACTTTTCTAACCGTTTCGATTTGAAAATGATATAGCACGACTCAATTGACACTCTTAATGGTGGTTGTGATTGCTTAAGAGTAGAGGTAGCAAATGAGCGGATTGATTTGGTTATGGACCGATTCAAAATGGGTTAGGTGGAAAACAAATCCAACCCATTTTCAACTCCTTGATAATCTTTTAGCTGTGTGACATTAATTTGGTCCTAAACTGTGTCACAGGAATTCAGCCAAACGGGCGATTTTACAGCATGGAAAGCATCAAAGATGCAATCAAAGGAGCCACCGGGTATAGTCCATGGATAGCGTGCAACGTCGACCCGTCGGGTGACACCCAACTGTATCAGATTTACCAGTGTGTGGATACTTCCGGGTCGAACCTAATCGAGTGTCCGGTGCTACGCCATGGAAGGTGTGCTTCAAGTATTGAATTCCCTGTCTTCTGAAGATGTAACTGAGGACTTGGTGAACATCATCTATTTTTTTTTTTTTTTGGTAATTCCTTGATCATTAATTGACTTTTATTTTCTATCTAGTGGAAAACTTATTATTATTAGTCCTACTCGACACGGTGACTTGTTTGTTTAATTTTAGAGTGAAATTAGTGTAGAGTGATAAAGATATAAGAACTCGTTTGGTAATGTTTTTATTTTTGCGTCTTCAAAAAATAAAAAATAGAGACAATTTTTTGTCTTTGTTTTTTGGTAAACACTGAAACAGAAAACATGTTTGGTAACTACATCAAATCTTATCCTAAATATGTTTTATAATATCTCATTTTTTGTTTTCAAACAAATCAACACTTTATTTCATGAAAAATGATTTACAGCCATGTATTACAAAGGAGTTACAAGAAGCAAAAGAATTCAAAAATTCTAATTACAAAGGAGTTGACTTTAATCCTTAAAAAATGATTAAAACCAAAAACTAATCAAAACAGTCCAGTTTAATTGTATAGAACATATCAAAAACAATTTTATTTGGTAAGTTTAGGTCCTAGAATTCAAAAATACTCATACATGACGGTTAATTTGAGATAATGCAATGATTACGTATCATATAATGTCACAAATATTAGTTTCATACAATGTCATCATAAAAATTAGTTATGAGTGAGTGTATTATTAATGATATTAGTCATAAGATTTTCAAATACTTAAGGGAATACAGGTAATTTTGGAAATATGAGGGGGGACATAGCCCCTCTTGGTCTCCATATAGTTCTATCCCTGAGCATGTTTCCTGTCTGATAATAAGGGAAGATTCCATGGACTCTAAATTTAGTTTCAAATGTACAAATCAATTATAATGACAGGCAATTGAGGTGCAGTGAACTGAATTACTGCGAATCATTACATATTTTAAACTCAACTGATGAATAATTGTAGTCATTTTGACTATTGATTGTTTCATAGGAACCCTTGATACGATTGGAATGCGCAACTTTGTTGATGCAAGTTGTATAAAATTTTTCTATACAAATGTCAAACAGTAGCATTCCGCAATCTGGTTTATCTTATTTGAGTTGTGCATGGCGTAGAAATAGACAGCTTTGGGATATTGCTTCCATTAGCTTGCATTCATATGTCTGATGAAGCTGATTGCTCTTATTGTTCTCCTGCATAGTCTTGGGAGGCCAGTCTGGGGCAGAACACCTCAAGCCATGTGCTTCAGTCATTTTAACAAATCAAAACTTGTAATCTGTACAAAGAAATACAATTCTGCAGAGTCATTTTATTTAGATCCTCACTGCTCAGCATTTGTCCTCACAGATCAGTTGTTGCAGCTTCAGAGTCTGGAACATAGGAACTCCTGCCCAGAACAGCAGCAGCCTACCTGATGCAGAAGGTAATTTCCCCCAAGAGTTGGCTTTAATCCTTCAAAAGAATTAAAGCTATTAACTCAGCTCTTGGTCTCAAATCCCTCCATTTTCCTTATGCATTACTGCACAAACTGCCAATACACTCCATGTCCCAGACCAGTGCAGTCCACTGCAAACAGAATAGTGCAATGCTAACCAAAGCAGAGACTCAAATTGCACACACCAGCTGCCCAGACACCAAAAGCAAGCCATCACCAGTCCATGATCTGAGCAACACAGACTGCTGCCCTGCTAATAGCCCAAACCTGGACCTGCATCTTCCAGCTGCTAAAAAGCTCATCTGCATTTATGAACTCATAACTCAACTACTGCAGCCAGCAGCCAAGCACAAATTCCACCTCACCATCAACATTAGCACCCCAGTAGCTATTCTCAAAAACACCCCAGCTCAGAAAAGCAGTACCTCCAGCAGCTACAGCCACAATCCAGTTACAATGCCTCTAACCTCCTCCCTCAACTTCATCCCATCAAGACATCAATTCATCCAGCTCCATTCCTTTTATCAAACACTATCCTCCTTTTCAATCTAGCAGTATGTAACATGCCCTGGTCCCTTTGTAAAAGCAATCTCCCATCAAATTCTGAATTTAAAAGTTTTTCTGTGGTCTTGCTTGCATGAAAACTGAGGGGTCTGTTCAGTGGAAAATGTAATGCTGTTGGTTGATAAGAGGAGTGTGCTGGCTTTTTGTCAGTTGCTTATCCTAGGTTTTATTAGTTGAAGCTGGTAATGGTTCTGCTGGGGTCTGTTACTGATGAGGATAGGTAATGCAGCTGTTGTGTGTTCAGCTGATATAGCAGTTACAGCAGGCTTAGGAACTGTTAAAGGAAGAACGTTTCTAGCAAACACTACCTGGAAAAAGGAGAAAACCTGGGAAGATTTTGGGATACCTAGAAATAGGAATTTACATGCTCCACAGGATGTTATTTGGTCAGGGTCAGAGAGCTTATGAAACATCATCAGAGAAGCGGGAACAGAAGTTTGGTGCAACATACATTACAAGCATTCAAGACAATACTTAGATGGGCAAAAACAACCTCAAGGAATAATGGGGTGTTCAATAATAACATTCCTGGGCATTGATCAGTAATCATTAGAGCACTGACAACCAGCTTGTTCGAAGATTATTATTCAATAATAAATTGTTCGAATATTATTATGTCTTTGCCTGCAATGGTTTGGCATACAATTAATAAGAAAATGGTTGATTGCCAATTTTTTGTATAAATTTAATCCGTGTTAAACAGTTCATGTAATATTGAAATCAGAAAATGTTCAAATAATAAATAGCTTAAAAGATAAATATACAAGTAGTAATCCACTACTTCAACAAATCGAAAGCAATGAGCTACTTTCCCAATCTCAATCTCAATCTCAATTAAATCACAAACACAATGCACACACACCCAACACACAGAACACACACACACACCAATCACACACAACACACACGCAACACACATAGATCTGTGCACATATATGCATATTGTTAAGAAATATAAGGTTATTTTGTTTATTAAGAGTAGAATAGTCTTTTACTTTCTCTGTCTTGTTCAGCTTATGCATAGTCTCTTTGTATTTAGGTTAAATTACTTCATTGTATTCAATTGAATTATGCAGTATCAATAAAACCCTAACCTCCTATTTTCTTATCTCTTGTATCTCTTTAGATTGTTCAACACATATATGCACAGATCTGTGTAGATATACATATACATACACGGAGCTGTGTGTATATATATAGAGAGAGAACAAGGAGATGAGATGAGAGATGGAGAAATAGAGAGAAAGAGAAGGGGCTTACCTGCCGTCAGTGAGAGAGAGGAAAGGAGATATCGTTGGTGAATGTGAGAAAATGGAGAGAGTGAGGCAGCGATGGACAGGAGAGAGAGATGGGTGGGTTTAAATAGATTCACAAAAAAAAGAGTATTTTTGCTGCTAAGGAGTTCGAAACTCGGATCTCATTAATCCCTTTTAGCGCCTGTTTCTGTTTCGCGTGTTTCTTGAAACAAAAATTTTATGTTTCTATTTTTTTGTCTCTGTCTTCAATATAACGAAAACAAAACAAAACCAAAAATAGTTACCAAATATATTTTTATTTTCATTTGTTTTTATTTTTGACAAAAATTAAAAACAAAAACACAAAAAACAGAGATAAAAACAGTTACCAAACATAGTCTAAGTATTTTAAGGTATATATTATGAGGAACTATATGTAATTATGAACAGTTAAGCTAAGAAAAGATTAGGGGGTATTATAGGTATTTTATATGGGGAGGCCAAACTCCTCTCCTTTAATTGAATGCATCCAACGGATGAGAATTGAATTGTATTTTAGGGGTTTGGTTCCTTTGTTGTTGATCAAAACATAGTCATTTTTGGTGCAAAACGACGCTGTTTTGATCAACATGTTTGTTGTTATAATTTTTAAAAGCAAAGGATCTTTGGTCGTATTTCAGCCGATTTGAGTCTAATTCAATTAAAGAATCACCAATCCAAACTAATTATAAAAAAATGATCCTATCAAGAAAACTTAATGAGTTTGAATGTTAGCAAATTACATCTTATTTCATCAATTAGTTACTTGATTTTTTATCAATGCGTATTTGGTTCAATGATACTCTTTACCTTGTGAAGACTTTATTTTCTTGAGGTCAAGGGTTCAAGTTCCCCTAAAAAATTACTTGATTTTATCACATATTTTATATATACACACATGTATATGTTTGGATCAGTTCAAATCAGTTCGAATATTCATTTATCCAAACCAGAATTAGTGAAATACAATATGATAGATTCATATTTAAATTATCGTTAAAAAATGAATCTAACTATTTAGATTCAAATTTAAATCCAACTTGGATCCATGAAACTTGTTGGAGAAAAAAGCCCCTTGTAGCTGCCCTAATTACAGTGTCTACCTTTTTTTATTTTAATGATCAAGTGTGTTTGGGTTAGATTACGTGCATTTTAATTAATTCTCTTTTCAATTAGATAAAATACAAGTCATTCACGATAGAACTAATTAATTTGTGAATGTCTACCTATTAATTTGTGGGTGACTGGGTTTTGTTTTTTGTGGGTGGGTTGGGGTTTTTTTTTTGGGTGGGGGGGGGGAGGGGGTGGGGGTGGGGGTGGGGGGTGTCTATAATAGGCGTTGGGACACTATGGACTTGATCTTTCCATTGGTTGACTTTAGTGGGTAAACAAGAACTCCTTTACGAGAAAGCACTACCTAGTCTAGACAACGGTGGATGGTCCACGAGATTGCCTTGGTAACAAAGCTAGATTTGGCTTAATTGATTGATGGGCTGGTGGATAAATCAAATTTGACTAGTTCAACGCGTTTGTATGAAAAAATAAGTTCAATATTATTAGATTTTAGTATGAACTCAATACACTTATGCTCAAATATAAATATTATGTGTGGTGAAAATTAAGAAAATGTTATTCTTAGGTTAATAGATAAATTGTCAAATTTTCATATGGAAGATTGTGGATTTAAGTCTTATTGGGTGTGTATATTTTGGATTTACTCAAACTTAAGCTTGAATTAGATGTCAAACTCAAAGTTAAGCAAAAATTCAAACTTGAGTAAAGTTGAAGCATATCCAAACTTAATCCAAAGAGATAAGTCAAGTGATAGCAAGAATGAGTTGTAAACTTAGAAATTCTGAATTTGAATTTTGACAACTCATTAAAATTAAGTTATAAATGATTTATCCCTTATGAATACACTAGCTTTAACGTGAATAACCTGCCTTTAACCTGGTTAAAAAAAGAATTAGTCGAGATGCGCTTAAGTTGACTAAACAACTATGTCTGTTGAATAAAAAAAATTAAAAAAAAAGTATATCCAAACTTGAAATGCTATATTCCATTAATACTTAGTGATGAAGCCAAAAAAAGGTGAAAATTTAAGATCAATCAAGAAAATTCTTCTTTTTGAAATTTTCCGTTCTTGGGTTCTTGTTGTATGTGATCTAGGTTGGGCATTTTTGGGAGGATTCATGAACAGGTTTTTATGGAGTGAATTACAAGAGGGAGAGCTTAGAGACCAGACAGAAAAAAAAAAAAAAAAAACTTTGTTATGTCCTTCCTTTATTTGTCTCTCTCTAGAACAATAAATAATAGATAGTTGGATTTTGCTAAGCATGAAGAAAATATCTAGTTAGTCAGCAAGCTCCTCCTAAGTCCTAACGACAAGCCGGTCCGTATCTCCCTCATTGCTTTTACTTTAAATTTCACCCACCGCAAATTGCGGGGCCTTTCTGTCTTTTTACTTTACGTCTTTAGCTATTGTCCAACTTTCTCCTTTTTCCTTCAATGAAATCTCGACGTGTGTAACAATTTTTTACTTTATTTTTACAATTAATGATCAGTCCATAATATAAAATAAGATAGACTTTTATAAGTTCTTCCAACGATTATAAATAGATTCATTCAACAGTTACTAACATTCCTCTTAAAATCATTCACATTATACTGTATCTTTAGACATGAATTACCTCTAGCGATAAAGTGAAAGAAGATCAATGGCCTACATGGTAAATCAATTTATGATTTTTTATTATATTTTTGAAACGTTTTTAAAAATATTTTAAAACACTTTAAAAAAGTAGAAAAAACGTGTTGAAATTTCTAGAAACACTTTGAAAATTTCAAATGCTACAAAATTTTAAAATTTCGATTCAATGATTTGATTTACTTTAAAACGAAAATGTTTTAGTTGTTTTGGAATAAAATTTTGATCCCAAAATATGCTTTTGGAATGGTACATTGTTTTTTGTAATCATGGCCATATCCTTGTTGTAATTCAACAGTTAACAGCTGGTCATCCTTAGTTGTTGGTTTTTTTATTTTATTAATCAGAAGCCTTGCTTAGTTTAAACATAATTAATGGACAGATGGTCCAGTATTATTAGCTCAAGCTTTTTTCATTTCCACCAACCGGCTCTCGCCGGCCCCACCGTCAACCAAAGTATATAAACTAATCTGAAATAGAAAAATAAAATGAACTAACCTCCAATAGAATATAGATAAAAGTATTAGAGATTTTGAATTTCCCAATTTATAATTATAATTAATTTGAAGGGTAAAATTAATTATCTGAAACATAATTTCTCCCACCCTCCCCCCCAAAAAAAGGGAGTTTTGACTCACTAAATCATATGATTTTGGGTATTAATAAACGGATCAAGTATAAGTATAATATTTTTTAACATGAACTCACTAAAACTTGATACAAACCCACTCATTCCATAAGATTGACAAACCATAGTTCTTAACGATAAATCTACTAACATCAAACGAAGGACTTTGACTACGATACTGTCAAAAAAAATTTGGCAGCGTACTTTTAAAGTTTACTAATTTAATAAATATTTTTTATAACTTTTGTAGGTTATTTTACGATCAAAAAATTTATCAATTTTGTTAGTGATTTACCATTATTGTGAGTATTTTTACCACTTTTTTTTTTTGACTCAAAAAAATTATCACTTTTGTAAGTGATTTATATCATGTTTGGGTGTTCCTACAACAATTGTGATAGTTATTTTTTTTATTTTTTTTTGTACCATAACAATGATAAAAATACTCATAACAATGATAAAAATATTCACAAATATGATAAATAGAGATATAGTATCAATTTTTTTTAAATTTTTATCATAGACAACCCCTCAGACAAATATAAGACGTCTATTGTAACAAGAACGAGTTGTAAACTAAGAAGTAACTTATGTGATAATAAGAATAAACTGTAAATTTAAACGAGTTGAGTTCAATATTGACAATTTATTGTGATTAGACTATGAAGAATTTATCTTTTATAAATACACAAATTTTAGTGTAGATGATTTACTTTTAATCAGATCAAAGAAAAAATCAATTGAAGTACACATAAATTAATTCAGATATTTTTTTACGTTGAACCACAAAAAAAAAAAAAAAAAAACGAATATAAGGCGGCATGCGAGGAAACCGTGGTCAGCCAAAAAAAAAAAGGAAAAAGCAGAGTCCAGATGCACCAACGATTTAGCTTTTAATTACAGTTTCTAGTAACCTAGTATATGACTTGTCAAAACACTTGAAAAATCGACCTGCTCTAAAATACATATAAATAAAATTAGTTTCTAGTTTCAAACTGTGCGTGGCGTAGACTTGAAGTCGCAGTCCAAACGACATAGATCATCACTTTCTCTCTCATTAGCTCTCTCTCTCTTCCACCTCTAAACACGCCGGACCGGTCGTTCAGAGAATGGATAAGGAGGTATGCTTTATTTTGACTCCAATGCTTTGCCTGAAAAACTAGTTGTACAGCTCAATTTCTAAATTCTTCATTTCTCTGTTTTTGACGAAAATTGAGTTTTTCATTTCTTTAATTTTTTAGTTTGGAGTTTATTGTGTTCGGATCTGTATAATGACCGTGTTCTATGATATATTCATTCGTACGGATTGTATGTATTTATGGCGTGTTTGTATATACGTATTCTATGTATGGTCCTTGTGATGGATGTTTCTATGGTTGAATACTGCAATGACGGCTAGTCTGGTGACTTCAGCGGGAAATTCCGCTATGAATTGGTGAACTAGAGGTGTAGAATGAGATGATATGGATTAGACGGAGGAAGAATGGTTTGAATTTTGTGTGCAGATTAAGTGAAAATTTCTGGTCTGTTAGTTGATATGCTGTGTTTTTTATGTGAATGGAGAGAATTTAGGGTTTGAATTTGCTTTTTTTTTTTATTATGGTGAAAAGTGGAGATTTGGATCCGCAGTTGGAGTGTTCTAGTCATTGCCTGTGTGAAGAAGAGATGGTACGGTTGTTGCAAGAAACTTGTATTTTATTGTCTGTAACTTGCTCTATTTGCTAATCTGGTCAGCTTGGAGTAAAATATAATCAATAGAAGAAAATAAAGATTTATTTTTAATTTTTGACTATCCTGGGGAGGTATCAAGTTTTATTAATCCATATGCATGATTGATTTGATGTAGCTATGCGAGGCTTCAAAAAAAAAAAAGGAAATAAAAGAAAAAATAACTGGAAACATTTTTTTATTACTTTTTTATTGCTTAGATTCGTTTTTTAAGAATTTTTTTTTATATGTTTACCGTGTTTGTTTATTTTTTTTCTTGTTTTCTGTTGTTTGCTTTATTTGTTTTGTGATATTATGTTTTTGGACTTTATTTTGGTTTCTTTTCTGTTAATTGTATTCATAAAATAATTTTTTTTTTTCCAAAAAAATGCAAACTTAATTTGCAAACTGCGTTGAAGGGTTTGTAAGATTATCTTCTATAGAGTGAAGAAATTCAGTTTTGACGGAACCATATTTGAATTTCGGGATGGTCTTGATGTAAAAGATATAAAAGTTCTTATTAAAAAAAAATTTTAAAAAAGATAAATATAGCAGTAATTTTTCAAATTTTGGTTCTTCAGCCCCTGAATGACCTTCTTTGACTGATAAAGTTAAATGCGTGGGAAGGGTTTATGGGCTTTACATCTGTTTGTTTATATGGGTAGATCTACCAACGGGCCTTTGGTCAAATAATACTCCTTACCTTATAAAAATTTTGTCTTGAGGTTAAGGGTTCAAATCCTCCTCCCCCACCCTAAAAAAATTATATGTAGGTAGATCTAATCATCGATGTGCAAGCTTATAGGTGTTCTGCTTTAGTAACATCACTTTTATCCACCCATTGGGTTTCTCCTAATTTGGTTTGAACTGCAGGCCATGGGATATTAGACTAACATCCAGTATATAGAGATGAGAAGGAGTGGTTGAGATCTAGAAGAACATAGTTCTAGCATTTTCTTTTTATAGATATCTTTTTCTCTCTGAGTAAGCATTCTAAAAGACACCACATGTTGACATTAGACATTTTGTTGTTAGGTAAAACAATTTAAAAGATTTTGTTTTGTCTCGTTTACTTCATTTTACACTTACTTTCCTCTTTAAGGTGCTTATAGTCCCATCTCAATCTGTCACTTCACATTGTATGTGGTTGAACGTTATTTGCAAAACTTAACATGCAAACTCTTTTGCGTTTTTGAAGGCTAATATCTGAAGTAAAGGCTTCAACATCATAAGTCAGTCTCATATGCTTCATGTGGGGCTGCTTCGCCGGAGTTTTTGTTCAGTTTAGTATATGAACATTGCATAGTTATGGAAAGAGGGTCTTGCAAACCATATATTTTGGGCCAGTGAAAAACGCAAACTGGGAAATTTAAGGCCCAACATTTACATTCCTAGAAGTCTTATTATCTTTGTCATCTGCAATTTGCGATCAGGTGCATTTATGATCTTGTTTCTTTAACTATTTGCTCTTGACCTTCTTGGATATTTTCTTCTTATTTCGTATAATTGATTTTCAGCCAAGTTAATTCACATCCTAATGACCTTTTGTGTTACTCTAGGTTTAGATTGTATGGCATTTGCACTCAGAAGAGTTGCTGTGTGCTGCTGAGGATCAGAAATGAAGAAATGGTATCGTGGTGTTTTAACTGCATCCTTGTTGATGTTATTTGTTCTGGGGTATTATGTGATTGAAAATCCTATCAGGGAAAGTTATCTTGCAAATCCCTTGTACTTAAATACAACAAATCCTCTTGAATGGATAATTTCCGGGGCTCCACCTACAGTTCAGAATCCAGAAAATGGTTCTCAAGTAATTCCCACTGATACAATAGTTTTTGTTCTGTTTTCTCCGCGGAACCTCTCCAACGTGGAGCAGCAGCCTTTGGATACATGGAACCATTTGAAACACTTACTTAGCCATGCTCAGGCTTTACCTAATGCAGTAGAGGCTATTAAGGAAGCTGGCCTTGCATGGAATAGCCTTATGACCTCAGTTGAAGAGGAAAGACTTCATATGAATGATAGTTCACATAGGAGAGGAAGAGAAAAGCAATGTCCTCATTTTCTTAGTAAAATGAATGCCACACAAGTTGATAATAATGTATTTACGTTGCGGGTTCCTTGTGGCTTGACTCAGGGCTCCTCTATCACAATTATTGGCATTCCAAGTGGTCTACTTGGTAATTTCAAGATTGACTTAACTGGAGAAGCGCTTCCAGGGGAGCCAGATCCACCAATTATTTTGCACTACAATGTTAGGCTCCATGGTGATAAAATAACCGAAGATCCTGTAATTGTACAAAATACCTGGACAGTTGCTCATGACTGGGGCGAAGAGGAGCGTTGTCCATCTCCTGCTCCCGAAAACAATAAAAAAGGTAGATTTTAATCGTGTTTTCCTGGGTCTTCAATCTATGAATGTATTCAATTTGCAGTCACCCATATTTCAGGCATATCACATCATCCTATTTCCTTAACTTTGTTTTGTTATATTATCTACAAATTATTACATTGTGCTATTCTCTTGACTTGGTAGACATTTTGATTAATTTGGGTATTTCCCCCCTCCCCACGTCCTTTATTGGGAAAACCATTAGGTGGTTCTCTAAAAATTTTGGCAATCTAAAAGTAACTGTAATATGATTTAGCACGCAAATTTATACCATATTACATATGATACCACTTTTTTAATTAGTGTTTGCTACCAAGAAAATTATGATGCATTTATATTGAAATGATTAGAAGCTCTATGTTTGGCTTGCAAGTTTGACACTTCTTCAATTTATACTTCTTTGTCCTCTTTTATTCTTTCTTTTCTCACTGTGCATTCTCAGATTCATTGCCTCTAAATGCTTATTTGAATTTTCTAAGGAGCTGCAGTTTGCTTGTCAAAAGTTAGATCACCAATTGATGGCTTTAGGTCTAAACTTGGGGTGTCTAGAGTATGATTTGCTTCTACTAGCTTCAATATTTCATAACATCTTATATTTTCTCATGATTTCCTGATTGCATTCTTGTGCAACTTATAGTTCTGTCGTCATTATATTTAACCTCCTGTGGTTTAAAAGTATAGTAATTCCATGTAAATATTTCATATCTAAATATTGAGCAAGAGCTTATATCAAAGTCTAGTAATTACATCTATAATATTGCATATCTAACAAAAGCATACATAATGGGAGTTTGGTTGAATTTAGAAGAAAGTAGCAACAATGATACCTATTTTGCCATCTGATTGCTGGCATTGCTTCACATACTTCTCTTACTTTTGCCAGGGCTGCAGGAGTTTAATTCGTCATACTTATTCCAATTGGCCCTCTTTGTTTTTTTCATATACTTCAGTGAAGTCCTTATTATGTTACTGCATATACTTTTTGCTAGTTGGATAGGTCTAACTAATTTTAAATTTCAGTGGATGAATTGGATCAGTGCAATGAGAGAGTTGGGAAAGACAATAACCGGAGTTTCACTGCTGGCATACATTCCAATAGCTCTATGAAATTTCCTATGATTCAGGATGGATCTAAACCAAAAAGATATTTTCCTTTTAAGCAAGGTTATCTATCTGTTGCAACACTGAGAGTGGGATCGGAGGGAATCCAGACAACAGTTGATGGAAAGCACATAACATCATTTGCATTCCGTGAAGTAATTTCTCTCATTTTTGTTGAGTTTGAGAATTTTTATAGCTGTTACAAGTTTGTTTGAATTTGGTTGTCAACTTTTGCTGTGTTTCTGTTCAGAGTTTGGAGCCATGGCTTGTTAGTGAAGTAAGGATTTCAGGAGACACAAAATTAATTTCTGTCGTGGCCAGTGGGTTACCGACATCAGAGGATTTAGAGCATATAATTGACTTAGAAGCTCTTAAATCACCTCCACTCTTTCCTCAAAGACAACTGGATCTCTTCATTGGTGTTGTCTCTACTGCAAACAATTTTAAACGCCGAATGGGTGTTCGAAGAACATGGATGCAATATGCTGCTGTGCGGACCGGACAAGTTGCGGTGCGCTTTTTTGTTGGTTTGGTGAGCATTGCTTGCTAATTTCTACTATTATGAGTTATTATAATATACTAAGCCATAGGCATGATATTTCATGCACCAATGCCGGACAAAATATGTTCTATTGTGCATTCCCACATAAATATGGTTCTCATATTGACAATAGCAGCATAAATAGATGGTCCGCTTCCGCCATTGCATGGCGACACACAAAAACTATGAAAAATGACTATAGGCTTCCTTTGTTGGGAAAATTTTGATAGATAAAAAGTTCACCCAAGAGCCCATAAAGAAATGTTTTCAAGAAATTTAATCGAAATGACATTAAAAGTGCCCCAAAGTGGTAAAGCCAAAAACCATATATATTGATTTCGATTAACAAGATAACATAAGTTTGATATGTGTATTGTAGCACAAAAATCAAATGGTGAATGAGGAGCTATGGCATGAGGCACGGACATATGGAGACATACAGCTAATGCCTTTTGTTGACTACTACAGCCTTATCACGTTGAAGACTGTAGCTATCTGCATCTTTGGGGTAAAGTTCGTCTCTTCATTAGTCAAGGCGATATTCCCTCTTTGCCTCATTGACCATATATCTTCAACAGACGCAGGTTGTTTCAGCAAAGTATGTCATGAAGACCGATGATGATGCATTTGTCCGTGTGGACGAAGTATTGGCTTCTTTAGACAGAATCAATGTTAGTCGTGGACTGCTCTATGGTCTCATCAATTCGGAGTCCCGGCCTCATCGGAATCCTGATAGCAAGTGGTATATTAGCCCCGAGGTGACACTTTTCCTAATGATTCATTCTTTCATCATTGAATTTGATTATTAAAGGAATCAAAGCAGACTTCTCAGTTTTAGAAAATGTAAGAAATTAAGGGTCCGGATGTAATGTCAAAATTCTAGCTCATGTCAAATCGATAGTCACCCACACCCAAACCACCTCCTCCCCATTGAATTTGATTATTAAAGGAATCAAAGCAGGCTTCTCAGTTTTAGAAAATGTAAGAAATTAAGAGTCCGGATGTAATGTCAAAATTCTAGTTCATGTCAAATCGATAGTCATTGTTGCCCACACCCACACCCACACCCGAAACCAAACCTCCTCCTCCTCCTCGCCCCAAATCAGAAAGAGAAAAAATGGGAAAATAAAAGAAGGAAGAAAAAATACCTGTTATTTTGTGATGCATGCATGGTTTTCTTCTGTGATTAACTTCCGTGATGAGGCGTATGCCTTGTTTTGACATCTCATATATTGTTGATCTTACTCCTCCATCGTCTGCATTTTTCAAGGAATGGCCTGAAGACACTTATCCTCCTTGGGCACATGGTCCGGGTTATGTGGTGTCAAGCGACATAGCAAAGGCTATCTACAAGCGACATAAAAAAGGCCACCTAAAGGTACAAAGATACTTGATACATTCATCATCTTTCCCTTTGTGTTTGTTCAACATTTTTCAAACTCAACTAGTTTTCGCCGCTGTCCTACTACTGCAAGAAAAGTTTTAACCACAACCAACTTTCCTAGGGCGAATACTTCCCTTTCATTTTCACCCGCTAAAATGGACTCAGTGTAGACAATTTAGATCTTAAAGCATTAATTACTTGGTATTGCAGATGTTTAAGCTCGAAGATGTTGCCATGGGCATCTGGATTGCAGATATGAAGAAGAAAGGTTTAGAAGTTAGGTATGAGAAAGAAGGGAGAGTCTTTAATGAAGGGTGTAAAAATGGCTATGTTGTTGCCCACTACCAAGCTCCCAGAGAGATGCTCTGTCTATGGCAGAAGCTTCAAGAAGAAAATATCGCCAAATGCTGTGGCGATTGACACGTATATGATCCATCTGAGATATAGGGATGCTGGAAAGATACTTAACTTTCTAACCTTTGACAAAGATCCACCTAGTGCAGAAAAGAGAATGTGACAGGAGAGAGAGGAAGAGAGAGAGAGAGAGAGAATTGGGGGAGGGAAATACTGCTGTACAAGTAGGTGGTTAGTGTAGGGATATACGTATTGGTAGTCTAGTTTGTATAGTTTCTTATGATGCTGTTTTTTTCCAAGCAGCATCGAGGGATATGTACTATATGAGGGAGACAGAGAGATAGAGAGTTGCCTTGTATAGAGGGCACTCTAAAATTGGATGTGAACTGCCTTTCTACAACAGTAATCTCATTATTCTGCATCTTTCTCTTTTGGATTTTAAGCCTTTTGATGCTAAATTTATGGTGGGTGTGATCATATTCTGAGGTAGTAACTGCTGGTGTCCCCTTGACCCAAAAAAAAAAAACTGCTGGTGTCCCTTGTCTTCTCTTTCTTGGCCACTGGCATATAGAAAGAGGATGTTCCCAAAAATATGCAATCGATTTGTGGATTGAGGTGAGATAAAGAAGGGATCATTATTTCAACTTGTTCTGCCTTGATTGGGAGTGAGAAAAAAATAAAATAAATGAGCAATGCTGGACTTGATTATGACACCGATAAAAAAAAATTTGATACCGTATTTTAAAATAAATTTATTTTAATGAGTGTTTTTTATAATTTTGTGAATTATTTTTTAAATAAAAAATTTATTACTTTTGTGGGTGATTTATTAATGTATTATTGTTGTAGGTGTTTTTATCACTGTTATGGTACTTATTTTCATTATTTTTTTGGGGTATAAAAAAATTATCATTCTTGTGGGTGTTTTCATCACTGTTATGGTAGTGGGTGTTTTTAGCATTGTTTATGATATTATAACAATAGTAAAAATACTCACAACAATTATAAAAATATGCACAAATGTGGTAAATAGAGGTATAATACTCATTTTTTTTCTTCGTTTTTGTTGTTTTAGTACCTTGGACAACTCCAAGCAAAGCTATATGGATCTACTTTGGACACTTAATAAAGTTATTGAATTAATTGTAAATTTTGATGTTAGATGACACCCACTTTTTAATTCAATGGTTACGTAACGTTCCAAGATTAACTTTATAAATTAAGTTTAAATATTATTTTTCAAAATAAATTGGTGAGACAATATTAGAAAAATGGGTTATATGCTCATTATATTCCCACTAGCAATGCAACACATAAATTGCATGTGAAAATTTTGGTTAAAATATTTGATAAAATGCGTAAAAATTAAATTAGATATTATCTCATATTTATTATTCTTAAATTATTTGTATTGTAGATAAAGATAAAAAGACACATATATCGAATTTTTTGCACTTGAGATAATATTATATTAATGAAATTGTCGATGTTTATTAATATTGGGGTTTTAAAAAAAAAGAATAATATTTTTATATATCTTGTTAAGAGTAACATGAACATCTAAAAGTTTTGTAAAAATAGAAATTTATATGATATATTAGAAGTTAGTTTGCTATTTAAATATAGAGGAATAAAATGGTAATCTACATATTTAAATATAAAAAGACATGTTAGTCTTTATAATTTTTTATAAGGGTAAAATAATAATTCAAAAGTTTTTCATGTAAGATATTTTTGTTAGTAACTAGTAATGTACAACGTGCGTTGCATGTAAATAAATTTAAATAATATTTTTTTAAAGAAAACATGAATTATATGAGTAATTAAATACCAAATAATTAATTCATATTTTAATTATCATTAAATTTACTTATTCATTTATTCTATAAATTTTTGAAAAACTAATCTATCATTTATTTAAGTATCTATCTGACTCTTTTAGTCATTACCTATTTAATTATATTATAAAATTATAAAATTTTATTTTGTTAAATAGATTGATTAAATCTTTTATAATATTATTATATGCAAAAAAAATAAAAATATAACATATATTTGACTGTGGAATTCAATTGGATAACTACATTCATATAATAATTTAACATATATAGAACTTTACTTTTTCATATAGATATACAAAATTGTGTGCAATTATACTGTTAATGTCACACCCCATCCTGCTAGACCCTCTTAGGTTTTCCAGAGATGAAAGCGTAACTCAACATGTGGCGCTATCTGCGTTTATAATGCAGTAATATATTTAAAAATCAATAATGTCACCTAATGCCACAATCAAAACAGAAAACTGTATACCAAGTACACAACGGTGCCGTTTTTGTCAAAATAAAGGATTAGAGATTCCATCCCTTTACAGCAAACAACAGGGAAAACAGATACTCTTGTACAATATGAACATAACCAGATTCTTTAGTTTTTCACCCATCTCTACCATGCTAGTGCAGTAGTAGATCTCACTCTAGACTTCAGCATCCTGAAACCAATAATTTTCTTGAGTGTACTGTGTACCATAATAAATGAAAATATTAAAAATATGGATCAAATATCATTTCAACAAAATATGGTTACAATTTGAGGAGAACGTCAAAATCAAAATGTTTTCAACTCACTTTGAAATCTCATAATCTCTGCCAATATAACAACATAATAAATAGTCCACATGTGCTATGAGTAAAAAATGTTTAAGCAATGCCAAGTTATCTACAACATTTAAGTAATGTCAAGTTGTCTCATGACAACTGCGCAGTGTCCAAATCAACAACATGTAAGTCATGTCAAGCTATCAACAACTCTGACACAATGGATACTACTCAAATCACAAGCTTCTCAACAAAACATATTTGATCCATAGATTAAGCAACTCAACTCAAATCAATTTACACATATAAGAGAATAACTTAGTATATCATATACTTTTATTTTCAAGTATTATGAAACAGTACATTTCACTTTTACCACTGATATATATCTTTCATTTCTTTACGATCAATCCCTATATGTAACCGAGGTAGTAGCCTCCGACTCTAACAGTTAATACATGGATTAATGCAAATGAGTATCGAATCAAAAATAGCTTAACTAATGCAAATCAATGCACAAAAATGTGTTTCGTAACGTTTCATATTCATCACAAGTTAACTTCCGTACTCAAAGTCCAAAGACCAACTGACCTCTCATGCGTTTACAAACTCAGTGAGTATCCTCTATAACCTCAAATTCGAATATAAATCCTTATTACACTTACAATTAGTTTAAAAGGAATCAGACATCTCTTTTTATACAATCAAATGCATCGTTTCAGACCACTGTGCGTTATTGCACACAAATCCCTAATCCGGATCCTTGATTTCCAATCCAAATTCAAAATAATCCATCATAAGTTTTAAAATATTTTAATAATTCATAAATAATGTAATAAATGATTTCAAAATGAATTTGAAAAACTTCGACTGATCTAGAATTGAGAAACTCTATCCTGCACTACTTTTCGATCTGAAATAGCCAAAAATAAAACGATGTTATTTTTCAATGAATTTTCATACACATACTCAAATAACCTACCTAGGAATGAACATAAAATTTATTTTCCCAAAATCACCCAAAAATTGGGTCAAATTGGCTCCGGAGGCCAAAATAGTGATTTTAATCCTCATTTTGATCCGGCCGTTGGATCAACTTAAAATTTTACCGGGACTTTCGCATGGACGTTATGAAACTTTTGGAATCAACCAAAGTTCAATTGAAGGTCAGAAGCTCCCTCACGCACCGTCGGGGTGTACTGATGTACCTCCTCCTCCTTCATCTTCTTCCTTAGTCACTTTGACCAAAACCCTGGGCTTCTCTCATCAGCCTTAACCTCCTTACTTCTCACTCTTATTTCTCCCTTTTCAATACACCTTTTTACCTAATTTTTGATTCTAAACATTCACCACACATCACTCTAACAAACCCTATAATTCTCAAGCTTTGAATTAAGTTTAAACCCATAAGAAAAATTAGTCAAAGTAACCCAAAAATAAGGTTTTTAGTTTATGGCTAGACCTGCAACTTGCACTTTAACGTCTTAATAACTTCTAAATCCATTTCTAAGGTCACCAACTGATTTCTAAGGTTCATTTTAGTTAGGAACAACCTTCTCTCCAAAGCTTAAGGCCCAAAACCAAGAGATTAAAAACTCACCATGGCCAAAACTTTATCACCACCACCCCCACCACCTTTGACCATGACAAGCTTTGAAATCACCACTAAAAATACTCACATACCTCCCCACAACACAGCCATGCCAACCAAATTAACCAAAATGACCTCAAACTCAAAACCTATTTCATAAAAACCTAGAACCCAAAAATTTAAAACATGAATTCGAGCAATTGTAGTACATGATATGAAATTCTAATGATACCAGGAGATTCCTAGCCCTCAAATTAGTCTAGTAGCATACATTTAATCGTTTGAAGTAGCTTCTTCCACAAACCCAAAATTTCAAATTTGATTTTCTCTTTCTAGCTTCTCTCTTCTCCCTCTCTCTTCTCCTGACGGTTCTATCTTATCCAGAGACTTGTTGAAATCTTAAACACCTCCTCAACTAGTTTGGAAACTTGGAGAAGGCTGGAATAGCTCTTCTACTGCCAAACAGCAGCTTGGAAACAAATGTCATGCAATGACATTTTCGTAAATAACTCAATTTCATTTTTTTTAAACCTATTAAAACATGCATTAAAAAAAATATTTTCCTATATTTTTTTTTTCGTTCACATGCATGCTCGGGTTTTACAATTCTCCCCTACTAAATAAAATTTCTTCCTCGAAATACCTTACTTGATGAAAATAGATGAGGATATTGAGTTCTCATATTTTCCTCAATTTCCCAGGTAGCCTCCTCAACTGAATGACTTTGCCACAATACTTTTACTAACGGAATGACTTTATTACGTCATAACTTCTCTCGACGAGCCAAAATCTGTACTAGTTCCTCAATATAAGTTAAATCTTCTTTTAACTCTAAAAACTGCTCAATCAATACATGAGACGGGTCTAGTATATACTTACAGAGCATAAAAACATGAAATATATTATGCAAACGAGACAACCCCGAAGGTAAATCTAATCAGTAAGCTGTAGCCCTAACCCTTCCTAGAATTTCATAAGGTCCAATATATCTCGAACTAAACTTTCCCTTCTTTCCAAATCTCAGTACACCTTTCCAAGGTGATATCCTCAAAAATACTCGATTGCCCACTTCAAACTCTAAATGTTTTCTGTGTTTATTAGTGATAAGTGCGCGAAAGTGCATTTTAAATACTCTATTATTGGATTAAATTGCTGAAATATGAATATAAATAATTAGATATAGTTTATATTATTGAATTTAATATCTATTCACACTGA